TGCAGTGGCTTCAATCATCAATCATAAGCAGTATAATAGTGAATTTGGATGTCACTATTGCGAACATCCTGGTAGAACAATTGAAAGAAAACATGGTTCCGCTAGAATTTATTCACATTCAGATACAAATTATAATCTTAAAACATCTGAAATGTATGCCATATATGCTAGATTAGCCGAAAAATCAAAAGTATCTGTATTTGGAATTAAAGGCTCAAACATCTTTAGTGACATTTCATTTATTAAAGTGCCAGATATGATACTTATTGATGTGTTACATTTGTTTTACGAAAATTGCTCAAAAAAGCTTTTAGTTTGTTTATTTTCTGTTACCAATAAACACGAATCATTTTTTATTGGTAGTGCAAAATTAAATGCTATGGAAATCTTACTTGCTGATCAAAAAATGCCACATAACATGCCCAAGCCATTAACTATTAAATCATTCACACATTGGAAAGGCCATGACTTTAAAAACTTTATTTTATACTTAGCAGTTCCATATTTTTTACCATATTTGAATCCTGACTGCATGATGATGATTTATTCTCTAGTAATTGGTATGCGTTTGTGTAGCAGTGAAATATGTTTAGATAAGGTGTTGCTTATTAGTCAGCTGTTTAACTTTTATCAAAAATCATTGTCTGAGTTGCTTCCTTTATATATGAATACTATAAATGTTCATTTGCTTGGTCATGTTAGCGATATTATTAAAATGCATGGAAGTGTTACAAATTACTCAATGTTTTGTTTTGAAGCTCGGCTAAGTAATTATAAAAAAATGATGAAGGGAACACATGGTCATCCACAACAGATTGTACAAAAATTTCTTGACTTCAAAACAGCTTCTTGTTTTTTGCAAACAACAGATCATCCTAAAAAAGTTGAAGTTTGTAAAGCATTAAATATTGGCATTATTGAACAAGAAGAATTGCAGTTGTTAAATCCGGGCAGATTGTTGAAACATGGTATTGTTTACCATTCAAAAGGTTATGGCAAACATAACAGCTACACTTGTCAATTTGGACATAATAAGTTTGGTATCATATTAGATTTTCCTTTAGTTGACAATGTAATACATGTTCAGTTACAACTATTGAATGTGAAGTGTAAGTTAGTTTCTACTTTTGGTGATATGATTGGAAATTTGGAAATTAACTTTGATGATGACTTTTTTTTTATTGTTGAACAAACAAAAAACATTGTTGTTATTTCAGCTGACACTTTAGTCTGCAAATGTATATTAATTAAAAGTAAATTAGATACAAAAGATGTATTAATTTTGACACCATTGAAAGAACTTTTCGAATATGCTTAGGGTGGCTAAATGTAAATTTTGTAATTAATAAATATGCTTCACATCATGCATGTGTGTTTTTTTATACTAACAAACATTTTTGTTTTTAATATTTTGATAATTTGATTTAAAATAATTTGATAATTTGATTGAATTTTTTTACAGGTTTATATTTTATTAAATAATGACTTACCCTGATAGAAATAGAACAAAGAAATTAGATTTTGTAGACACTCAAAAGCTTTCTACGTTTGTTCTTTTATGGTACAAGGATTGTGAAAAAGATGAGCGGCATACCTCTCCCATATCACTTTCAAATACACTTTTTAAGCATTATTCATCCGTTGAATGCCTTGAATTTCAAGTGGTAAGTGTGTTAAAAAAAACTGACAGCATTTACCATACATAATATAATTAAAGTCCACCCTTAAATTTTATCCCCCCTTCCTATAATTGACAAAGAAGATAAATTTTGTTTTGTTTTTTTACATACCAGCTATTAGCTGAATATATCAGCTATCAGCTATTAGCTGAATATATAGAAGCCCACCTTAAAATAGAAGCAAGTATTTTAGATGCCCACGAATAAGATAAAAATGTTTTTTTTGTTTTTTTACATAGCTGAATATATAGAAGCCCACCCTAAAATGGAAGAAGTATTTTAGATGCCCACTTTTTAGGGATGTTGAAAAATGGAAGCCCCTGCTTTTATTATACTATTTATGGTGTGTTGATAATTAAATTTAATGTTTTATACTTATTAGAAAAATGTAGTGCATGTTTCTATTGCAAATATACAACACGCAGCTGTCATCATCTATAAGGGGTCTATTACCCAATGCTGTAAATTTGAAACATTGCTAGATAACTTCATGGACGATTTTGGTGATGAAAATCCTAGCACTGATGAAGTAAGCAAGTTTGCCCTCAATTATATTAAAGGCAATACTGACGGAAAAAGAAAACATTCTGATGGAGACCAATCCTCAGGTAACTTATGTAATATAAATATGTGACAATGACAAGACAATATTATAGTAATTTTATTTAAAATTTACTCTTCTGTGTAGTGGTGAACTGGACCATGGTGCCGGAGTGCAATAGCACCCTGGGTCAAAAAAAAGGAGGTTACCTTTGTTACCAGACAGAGTTTAGTTATTATGTCTGCTACACAAGTAGCAGACATAAAATAATTAATTAAACATTTTTGCTAAATAATAAAAAATGACACAAAATTCACACAAAAATTATCAACACAAGTTAAAGTTGCACTATCCGATGGTAGGTGGGGATCTATTGGATCCACTAGTAACCTAGCCCCTAGTACACCCATGATTATATGTTTGTAACCACAACTTGTTTATGTTTTTTTTTATAGATTCAGAGAATATTGCACCGGTCTCAGAACATACAGGCCTAAACGGACCTAAATATAAATCGACTCCTAAATCAAAGGTGCTGAAAAAAAAACATGTAAATGAAGTGTTGAATGAAAATTCAGGTAATTTTAATAATATTACAATTTTGTTTATGTAATTTCTTGAACATATTTTTATTGTCTTTTTCATTTATAGAATCAGAGTCCTTTGCATCATTTTATAACAGTCAAAAAGGATCTAAAAAAAGTGAAGCACAGATTATGGCTTTGGAAAAGCGGAAGCTTGACATGCTACTTGACAATGTTGATGCTCCCAGAGCATTGATGCTTCCAATAATTAGTGATGTTCCTAAAACAAAACACTGTGGTTCACCGAAGTTAAGCAAACTATCTTGTTTAGAAGGTTAGTTACAGTCCTATAGTATGAATACTGTGTTTGCCTAAGTTCTACCATATTGTACTTGTACATAGAAGTGCTATATATTTTTTTTAACATTAGCAATTTTGATTGAACAAAAGAAACTTCTTTTTGAACAAAAGAAGACCAACAAACTGTTGTCTGAAATTTTGCGCCCAATAGAAAAAGAATCTGTAAATAATGATAATGTAAGTCAATTTAATTTTTGTAATTTAATTAAAAAAAGCTCATCCAATGAGAGCACAACTTGCTAGTATTTACCAAATTGAATAAAAGAAATATTGATTGCTAAAGGAAAGGTACATTTATATACAAAAGGTTGCATAATTTGACCATCCATTGAAAAATGTTTACTAAATCCGAACTTATCTGTATTATACTTTTTAGGCCGTGTATACTGGTTTTGATGCCAAATTTAAATTGCACGACATTCAAAAACGAGAACCATGTAGCTTTGCAAGAAAATTTATTTTGTTGCGATTCGGAAAGGAGTTTACTTGCACGCGTATTTGTGAACCAAACGGACCTACTGCACGCATTCATATGGAGAATGAAGAAATTCAGGAAGTTAAAGGTGCACTTGACAAAGTGTTTACGTCTTACAACTGGCGTGTTGTTCGGGCGAGTATTAATCAATTTTTCCGAGACAATAAAAGTAGTACAAAAGTTTGAAGACTAAACAAATGAGTGACATTTTTCTTGTGGTGTGGGGTTGTCAGCGTTTTTCGCTTATCCCCCCCCCCCCCCATTCTATCTGTAATGTGTTTTGTATGTTTTGTGTGTTAAATAAATACACCATCTTATTTATTCTAAATTTAGTTGTTTATTTAATTTTTAAAATTCGAATTTAGTATGAATTGAAAGTGTACATAAATGTTTCTTTCAAATGTCAACTTTCAGCGCTGCTGCTAGACGATAATAAAATTGCAAAGAGTTTTATTGTCAATATTGCGAGATTATTGCCCAATATAATTGCAATTTTATTGCGAGATTATTGCCCAAGATATTGGCCAATATTATTACAATTTTATTGTCAATATTGCAATATTATTGCCCAATATATTGCCAATCCATTAACAACGTTAGGTTCAAACGTTATATCAACGTTGAATTGACGCGAAAAAACGTTACAATAACGTTGAATTAACGTTGATTTAACGTTTAAAATGAAAGTTTTTTTCAACGTTGATTTATCAACGTTAAATCAACGTTAGGTTCAAACGTTATATCAACGTTGATTCGACGCGAAAAAGCGTTACAACAACGTTGAATTTACGTTGATACAACGTTTAAAATGATAGTGTTTAACGTTGATTTATCAACGTTAAACGACTGTAAAACACTTTTTCACCATCAAAACGTGCTATGTATGTCAAAATGTATATATGTATGTAAACGTGCTATGTGCGTCAAAATATGATCACCATCAAAACGTACTATGCATGTACATTAGTGTTGCTGTACATTATCAAGGTATATTATGGATATTAAATCTATTCATAGTCTATACTTAGACTATTTAGAACTTTTTCAGTTTAGTTTAGTTAAAAAAGCTAGGTATGATTAAAGAAAGAGATAAAACTTGTTTTATTTAAAAATACATATTCAAATATTACATATATTTACATGTAATTGAATAAAATCTACACAAATTTCTTCTCTTTTCCACCACCTTTTTGAAATAAAGCGTAATTTAGAAAGTCAAACAATGTTCCATTAACCGAGGGTTCTTTTGGTCCATTGAATACAATAGAAGAAGCTGTAAATAAAAAAATATATATTAAAAAAATCAAAAAGGGAAGATTTAAAAAATTAATAATGAATGGAAAAGTGTTACATCTTATGAAGGCACATCTTTTTCAACGCCATATAGATTAGTGTTCTTAAAACATATTTTTCCACCTTTGCCCTTCATATCCATAGAGACCATATAACTTTTCGAAAATACTCTGAATTTTAAAAAAATAATATAACTGTTAGTTGGTTATTAATAACTTTTTCAAATATTTAATTTAAATAAAACAACCTTTTAATATATTAAAAATAAATTGGTAGTCAAAATATAAAACATTTCTAGCATTTAAAAATAATTTTCGGGGTGGCCACATAAAATTTTTATAAGAAATTTTATGTGGCCATTTATTAATGGTTTAACGTCCATGTTTATACACTTATGGGGCTGGGACAGGGATCAAATAATGTCATTTATTATGTTAAATGGCATGCATTTTCTAAAGCAATTTTTTACATTTTATGCACTTTAAGGCATTAACCAGATTTGCAGACCGAGAATGGGTATTTTGAACATTATACTTCCATCAAAAATTAAAAAAGAAAGAATTAATGAGGAGCTTTGATCAAATTTTTACCTCTTTAGAGGATAATAGAGGATTTTAAAAGTGGTTTTAAAAAAAAGAGGACTTTAGAGGATTTTAGAGGAGCTGCAGACACCCTGATTATAAATGAGGTAAGAGTCCAATACTGTTTTTGATTACCTCAGCATAATTTTGTGTATTTTAGAAGACGTTCCACCAATTAACTAATTAATTTATCTGTAAAAAACATGAAGTAAATCTAATATTATGCTTGTGGAGATATATTATATTGTGGAGAACCATCCAAACCACACAAATGGAAAATTTGCATCCAAGTTTCCACTTGTGTGCAAATCTTGCATCCACTTGTCAACATTCTCATTATCACATTTTTCTTTTGTAGTTGTGAATTTAAAATTTTCACAATACTGTTTGCTTTCTTTTAGAATTGAAATAGTTATACAAATAGTTATATATTTTGTATCAACAAAATAACTCTTTTTACCACATTATTAAAAAAATAAAAATTGTAATATATAGATGTAATACCTGAAGAGAATTTAGTTTTTATTTGTATAAACTTAAGCCAATTCTTCTCTGCATTTTAGTGCAGTCAATGCTTTGGTACCTGGAAGCCGACAAACAATTTTATCACTAATTCAATTAGATGGAATTACTTCTTCTTGTAAATCTTAATTCCAAACAGCTCCTTTCCGCATATTCGATTTTGAAAAAATTACATGAACTAATATAAAATGAAGAAACTGTAATATAAGTGTACTAACAGGCCTAATTAAACTAGCTAAATTTGAACATTTTATAACCATGATACTTGCTAAACAATAATATTAGTAGACATTATAAGCAAAGATAAGATTTTCTTTATTTTATAAATTTATAATATTTTAAACTCATTTTTATTAATTTATTTATTACTCTATTATTCAGCAGAGTTCTGAATATATTTTGTTCAAATAACTTAAGGCTCAATAACAAAGACAAATAATGAAAGAATACTAGGTTGCTAAAACATAAACATCTACATAAGATAATTATGGAATTTTGAAAAAAAATAGAAATACAAAAAAACAAAAATACTCATTATTAATATAAAATATAATAGTATAATTTAAGGTATATTATAATATATGACACAATAATATCGACTTTTAATTAAAATATAAAAACAACAAAAATTAAAAAAGGAAATATTTTGATAAATAATATATTATCATTCAAACAATTTTCAAGATCAAAAAATAACTTGTAACTTATTTTTTTACTTATCTTTATCTAATAAACATTACTTATTTTTCACTCATCTTTATCTAATAAACATTAATATTAATACCAATTTTAAACATTATTGGAATTTTTTTTTTATCAAAAAATAAAAATATTACATCAGTTACTTTTTGGGCTTTTCTCATTTTACTTAAAACATCAACTCAATTCTAGACTTTTTTCATAATTGAGTTTTAATTTGTAATGTTGAATTAACACTGAAAAAAAAAATATTAGCAGACAAAAAGAAAATATTTCTTTATTGAAATATATGTAAATATTTCAATAAAGAAATTTTAGATTGATTTTAATAAATATAAATTTATATCAATCAATCTAAATTTTTTTCTTTTCCGCCACCTTTTCGAAATGAAGCACATTTTTAAAAGTTAGACAAAATGCCATCAATTAAAGTTTCAGTCGCTCCATCGTATTTAATAGAAGAAGCTGTTAATAAAAAAGAATTAAAAAAAAAAAAAAAAAAAACACAAGGAGAAATTTTTGAATATATAAAAAATGAGAATAAAAAAGTTTTACCTATCTTATAAAGGTATACCTTTCACTACACCATATAAATTAGTGCTCTTAAGCATATTTCCACCTTTCCCCTTCATATTCATGGAGGTCACAAAATTGTTGGAAAATATTCTAAATTTTAATAGATAAGAGAACTGATATTAATTATGCAAGAACTAATATTAATTTTTTTTTTTAATTTAAATTGAACTCATTATCAAACAATTTTTTTGCTAAATAATTTAATCCTTAAAATTCCTGAATAATTAAAAATCATTTCAATTACCTCAGCATTTTAAAGATATTCCATCAATTGCAATTGATTCACCTAAAAAACAACAACAAGTAAAGCAAATATTATTGTTTAAAATTTTAATTATCTTTATACAAAAAATCATCATATTTTTAAAGTGACTGATAAAAATGGATTCAATTAAAATCACTTCATTTGTATTAAAAAATTAATATTAAAGCTTTAATCATACATTATACAAGAGTATTTTGTAATACAATCTAAATAATTGTTGCGATATGTAATTTTTTTATCCGAAATTTAGCTTCTGTAAGCTTTAGAAATTTTTTAAAGAAATTATTGATGAATTTGGAGCTACGGGTACTAATGTTTTTATATTGCTGTAATGTTTGTATTCATTCCCTGTTTCTGTAAGTCAAAATTTTAAGGTGATTCCATAATAAATTTTGTTATATCTAAAATTTAGTGTTAGTCTGAATAATTTACTTTCCAAAATCTGTTTTGCATTGCCTGTCTTATAACATCTTTACTTGGAACAAAAACCATGTGGTTTAAAAGTGAGCTAGAAGCTTTCAACAATGAAGAAAATATTGCATTCGCTAATCCTAAAAATATATTAAACCTGTCAGCAAAATCAGCTGTCAATAATCCAAGTATTAGCATCATTAAAAAGTCATCTTTGCTGCATTACATTTATTTTGGTCCAAGTAGTTAAGGATTTTTTTAAATTTCAAAAAACAGAAGTAAATGTTTTTTTTTAATATCACTTTATCTCTTTTGATTAATGGTGATACTGCACTAACTGATGAAACACATTGACACATGTAAGGCCAGTATAAAAGTCGCAAGATCTAATATTTTTAAAATAAATGTTTGTATACAAGTAAATTGCAATAACACGATTTGTTTGGATTATGTTTATATACAAATTTGTCTGTTTTCATAGTAATAACTGATGTGGTTGAAGTTAATTTTTCATATAAATCTTTATTTTTTTATTTCGTGCTGAAGTTCTTTTTTAAAGTTATCAATTTCCTTTTTTAATTCTTGATGCTCTATTAAAAAACAACGCTTAGCATTAAATTCAACATAATTTAATGGATCATTTTTAAAAAAAGTTGTATTATATTTACATTTAATAATATCAGTCTTTGAGCATTGTAGCCCAAGTTAAACAAAAAATATCAATTTTTAAACGATAATGTTCTTTCAGGAAAATCGTCTGAACATGTTTTCAATCTCTTGAAAATTCTATATGGTATAAGTTCAGTAATTACATTCTTTTTCCATTATAAATCTCTATAACTTTAACCGTTGAAATAATGTTTATGTTTTAAATTCCATTTCTGCGCGCGCATAAATTTTATATCGTATTTTTTGTCAACATTGATTGAAACAATGACGTTGAAATAACGTTAAATAATCAACGTTTAAACTGTAACGTTGATTTAACGTTGAAATAACGTTAAATAATCAACGTTTAAACGGTAACATTGATTTAACGTTGTGAAATAGTTGAACAACATTGAAACAACGCTTCAACCGAATTTCAACGTTGAAACAACTTAATAATGCCGGCTGGGCCGTTATTTTAACGGAAAGTATCCGTTTGTCCATGTATGGATGTATCAAGGCCTTCTAAAGTAGAAGGCCCGCTCATGCGGAATGTGACGTCACGTTAGTAGTCCATTGATATTTGTCTTGTTTAAAAATATTTATTTTTATTAAATTTTTTATATCTCGTTTAATTTAACTTATCTGATTACAAAAAAAAAAAAAAATAATAAATGAAAAAAATTATAATAAAAATTAGATTTATTTTGAAAGTAAATTTTTTTATTTTTACAAAAAAAAACAAAAACAATTATATCAAAAAGACTTTTTGCAATAATTGTATTTGGTAGTGTACATATGGCAAGTCATGCAATATAAAGTATTGAATTTCCACAACTGCATACACTATCATTTATCTTAAGAAACTCTAAACACTTAATTGAAAAAGAAATTAGGATTTGCTTGTGCTTTGACATCAACTAATACTTGGATTCATATTTAGAAGATATCAAAAAAGAAAGAATTAAAAAACTTTTTATTTTAATACATATGTATTTAAATAAAAAGTTTTTTTTAAAAATTGTTAAACTTTTTTTTTTAACAAACTTTTGCTGCAACTAAAAACAGAATTCTGTTTTTAGCTGCAATTATCGATAAAAACATCTTCTTAAAAACATCTTCTTAATCTTGCCTTAAGGCTGAAAATTAAGGCTTTGGCCTTAAAACCGTTGGCCTTGGTCTTGAAAATTTTGAAGCTAATTTAACATTTTGTCTTTCATTAGTGGTCAGGTTAAGAGCATTATTTGTCAAGTTTGAAGCAAATTTAACAATATTATCTTTTTCAATATTGTGCAACTGTCAAATATGTTAAATACATGCATTACATTTAGAATTATCAGTAAAACCAGGATAAAGAAATAATGATCATTGTCAAGTTGTCTCAGCCAGTTATTGGGACTACATTTCAATAGATGTACAATATTAAATAGAAAAACAGTTATCTTGTTGAAACATAAGAATATTGAATAAATGACTTAAAATCACCACTACAAAAGGCAATAAACATGTTTTAATTTATCCGACTAATATCTGAAATTAAAGAAAGAACTTTGTAACCACAATGGTTGAAATGAGAAATCATTTCAACCACTTTTATAATATTTCTTTTAAATAGATAGCAGTCATATTTTTTACTGAAACAACATCTTTGAATAATACTGAGCAACATCTTTGTATGATGATATAAAGAATTTATAAATGTTTGCACTGTGACATGCATTTTAGATAAAAACTAAAAGCCAGAGTATCAGGACTATATCGAGGTTGATAAATCAATAGTATTTTATTTGTTCACATTAAAATACTAAACATTTATGAACATCTGTAGAATTTTTATCACTGTCTTTAATTTGTTCACATAGATTGTTTAAATTACATTGAATTGTTAAAACATAATCTTAACTGGACATAAAACTTTTATTACCAGGAAAAATTTGTGTTAAAATAGTAGATAATTGGTCTTTTTCTCTCAACACATATTACAGAACCATCATCTCCTTTCATTGTATAAACGCAATCAATAAATGTATGAATGAGATATTTACGAATCCATAATTCTTTCATATTTGGATCGGTTGAAAATTTAAAAACACTAACTATTTCACATTTTAATAAAATTGACTAATATCTAATAAATTTATAATAAACTGCATTGAAAATATGACAACTAAATCTTTAATATTTACAACTTAAGTAATTTAGAAACCAATAAAAAATCGAAAAATTTAACATCGGACTACTAAAGTGACGTCACAAGAGTTATGTGCGGGCCTTCTATTTTAGAAGGCTATTTTAGAAGTATCTATCCATTATCTACAGAAATTTTCCGTATTTGTAGCTAAATTTTCAAATACGGAAATTTCCGTTGTATTTATAACTAAAAACAAATGTTGAACTGCCATTAGTTAAGATTTTCAAAAGTTATTTTTATGTACACATTTATCTCCAAAAAGAAGTTCTGAGGTTTCACCTGCAGGGCGAAGAAAGTTCACCAGGAATTTTACTATAAACTGTTCTGTTTTTTTTAATTTTAAAATTGCATGAACTTTATTTGGTCCTTGGATTGCTTGATTCTAAGTGCACTTACATAAACTTAAAATCACTCAAAATTGAACTTAAAATGCACAAGTCTTGTGTCAAGAATCCTACTAAACTTAATCTCGTTCTAAGTTAGAACGAGATTAAGTTTAGTAGGATTAATAGGCCTAAAGTTATTGCTAGAAAGGTATTGTTTGTTTTGTCTATTGTTGTTTAATCATTCTGAATTTATATTTCATATTTTTCTCAAAATTTAAGTGCTTCGTGTAACAGAATAACTTCCAGAAATGAAAATTTGATGTATTCTTAGCTTGTAAAGTATTTAGTAATATAAGTTATTTAGTAATATATATATATATATATATATATATATATATATATATATATATATATATATATATATATATATATATATATATATATATATATATATATATATATATATATATATATATATATATATATATATATATATATCATGGCCTACTTGAATTACACGGCCTGATTTGTTGCATTTTCCGTAAAAAATTAAGAGGCCAGTTTTTTTACGGCTCAAGTATAAAAAACTTCATGTTATGGTTAAGAGTCTTGTTTGCACTATAATTGTTTTATTTTTATTTAATTAAAATGGTTTAATAATAGTTAGATTTTCTTTGAGTACTTACATTATTTTGTGCTGGATTTTCTGTTAACTGATTGCCTGCTTCAGTTTATTCCAACAACACAGAATACTGAAATAGGCTTTCAGATAACTATATCAACGCATACCAACATGCTACTAAAAATAATCTTTCATGTTGCTAAGATTGCCTAAAACTCTCTATTGAACAAAAAAAAGGTTTGTACTTTTGTATTTTTTATAATTGAAATTAAAAGAAGAAATTTTTGTTAGAAATGTTTATTTTGTCATTGTCTTTTTTGGAATTCTTTTACTTGACCTTTTCTCAATGAATATGTAATTTTTTATTATAAAAAATATTGTTAACAATACGAAATTTATATTTGATTCCCCATTTTTGGTGGTTTTTATTTGTAAAATTAAAACTCCTAGATCAAATCTTTAAAATTTGTTTCACAAATTTTTAATTGAAATAGAATGACTGCAATGTTTCATTAGAGAAATAACATAAAATACTAAAAAGATGACAAATAAAATTAGACAGAGATTGAATTGAATATATAGGTTCTTCTCTTTATAAAGTAACGTTTATTGATCATAAGTTTTAAATTAAAATCTTTTTGTTAATTTTTACCATTATTACTTGCTTTAGTATATATATCTGTGCTATCTTCAGAAAGCTGACAGTAGTATTTATGTAGACAACTAAGAAATATTTTGCATAATATTTTTTAAGGATTATCAAAATTCTGATAAATATTTTCTGAGAAAATCTGCCAAAATATTTTTACTAATGCATATTTCTAAAAGACTCACAAAAAGTCTACTACTGGTCATTTAACTATACTTACTAAAACCTAGCTTTAAAGGATCACTTTGTAAATTAAAACTATAAACAAATGTAAAGCCTTCTTTAAGGAAATCATGCATAAGAAATACAATTACTTTTAGTGTTGTAATTAGAGCACAAGAAGTTTGTTTGGTTAATGTAAAGTATTTATCAAATTTTATTTTGATCAAATTTCAGTACAATTTGCAATTTCTCTATAAAGTGTGGGTTTGTTATCACCTTTCAAAGCAACACTGCTGAGTTTGATTGGATGAATTAAGTTTCTGCTTTGAATTAAGTATGATAAATAACTTATAAAACAATGATAAAAATTGTGCTGCGTTATTTCTTTCAGAAAAATAACTCTAAATTACAGCTGCAGTTGTTTCGTCAAATATTTTCAATGTTGACAACTTGTTTGTTGTTTCCAAAATATGTGACTTGATAATTAATTTTTATTGCTTTTTCTTGCCTGTTTAATAATTGATCTTTTAATAAACTTTAAGAAATATATTCCCTGTAATGTAATCAGCAGTAACTTCAACAAGAAGAAAAAAACAAAAACCGAGAATAACAAGTATGTTTTAAACACTCCTTTTCTAAACTAAATGATAAATTAATACTTTTCCATCCCCAGTATATGCTTTATTAAACTACAAAATGCATTAACATTTGTAGAATGGTTATCGGTAACAACAGCTCTTATCTTGAATTCAGATTGGTGCATTGAGGTAATATACTCATCATTTTCTTTGTTCAAACATAAACCAGTTATGTAAACTTTAGATGAGGATTTCAAAACATAAGAATAAATTTTTGAAGCCCTACAATCATAAAAACAAAAAACTTCTTTAAAAACTTTTTTAAAAAGATTATTTTCTCAATCTTCATCAAATCGTTTACCACTTTGGTATTGGGCTGCTTTTTGGAAGTACATCTTACCCACAAGAACCAAATAATCTCTTGATACCAAATTTTTGTCAATGATTTTTCTAATATATTATAATTTTTTAATTTGTAATTTTCACCTCTGCGAAATCATTTAAATAAAGAAATATGTAAAGCATTTATTTGGCAATGAAAAAAATTAGAAATTTATTAACAGCTATTGACTCCAAAACAGTTGGTATGCCTGATATTTCTTGCCTAATGTAAATAAATGGCCTGATTTATTGCATTTTAATTACTGTATGTTTGAGACATCCAGCATAGTAAAGTATTTATATTGGAAAACCTTGTTTTGCAGTGTAAATATTTTGAAGAAAAGTTTATGTTTTCTACTTAACAATTGCAATTATATTAAATACAAAATTACAAACCTTTAAAATTATTTCCAATAGAGAATTGTGAGTAGTTTTAGCAATATGTAAGATTATTTTTAGTAGCATGTTGGTTTGTGTTAATATAGCTATCTGAAAGCCTATTTCAGTATTCTTTGTTATTGGAATAAACTGAAGCAGGCAATCAGTTAACAAAAAATCTAGCTCAAAATAATGTAAGTTCTCAAAGAAAATCTAACTATTATTAAACCATTTGAATAAAATAAAGATAAAACAACTATAGTGCAAACAAGACTCTTAACCATAACAAAAATGAAGTTTTTATACTTGAGCCGTAAAAAAACTGGCCTCTTAATTTTTTACGGAAAATGCAACAAATCAGGCCGTGTAATTTAAGTAGGCCATGATATATATATATATATATATATATATATATATATATATATATATATATATATATATATATATATATATATATATATATATATATATATATATATATATATATATATATATATATATATATATATATATATATATATATATATATATATATATATATATATATATATATTAGGTACGTGAGTAAAAATTTCAAATGGTTTAAATACTATAATGTTATATATCATTAGAAAGAGGATTATTACAGTATTTTAAAGGTGAAAAAATTATCATAATCGAACAATTGGTTCAAAAGTTATGACGGTTTAAGTACCGATTTTTCGATATTAGGATTTGTTGAAGAAACTGTGGTCAAAATAATATTTTTCTTTACTTAAATTGTCATAACTTTGTCAATTCTTATCAAAAAACAAATATCTTAGTGTCAAAAGATAGGTGTAAGAGTGGGCTACTATTTTATGTTAAACTCTAACCACCGGGCGTTTTGGACGGACAGAGGGGGCACCAAACCAACACCATGCCCGTACGAAACTGAACACTTTTTTCAGAAAAAAAGTTTTTTTAAAGACATAAGCAATATAAATATTAAAACAAATTGTTTTAAATTTATACTTAACCATTAAAATACATAAGAGGTGTATCTTAGCAATAGAGGTGGGTGTGGTGGTGTTGGTTTGATACACTCTAGTATCAAAAACGACTTGATTTTATATTTATATCTTTACTGAAATGTGTAAAATTAGTATACAATATAAAATTATGTTATACATGATCTTACGTCTACAACTGGTGTTTCTATTACGGGAGGGCGTATGCCCCCCCCACCCATCCTTAAAAAACATATACAATTACTGTTTTCAAAATTTGAATAATAAATTTAAAAATGAAATTATGAAATTGGAAATAAATTAAAAAATAAATTCATATCAGACAACCATCAAATATGGAAGATGAATGTAAAACTCATAGTAGATATGTTGATGATGTTTTAAAGGGGAAAGAGGCATTGTAATGCCCCTTCCCTCTCTAACCTAATATTATTATTTAATTGGTTATATATTACTAAAAAAATTATACAACTACTATTGTGGGGCTATAATTAAGTCAATTGGCTTTAAAAAACATGTCATCTTTATAACCAAGTATAGCAAATACCTATATTATTGTCTTTCATGTGATTCTCACATTAACAGAACCATACAGTATGGTTAACGAGCTAACCATTTTCTTCGGTTAATAAACAAATTTCCTGTTTCAAAATAAACATTATTTATGAAAGTCACAACACTTGCAACATATTTTTGACAAGTCACAACACTTGCAGTGTTATTAAATTAATTAAATTGTAACTCACTGGAAACAACATCAGCAGCAAGCTGGATCTTTTTCACGCAATAGTCAACAGCTCTAATATCAGTTTTATCATCTTTCCAGTACACTGTAAAAAATGTCACGCCAAATTCTTAAATGTCCCAGCAAAATGTTTAAATTTCACGCCACTTTTAAATCTTTGCACAGAAATGATCTAAGTCGCGCGACATTAAAGTTTACACGCAATTATAAATGTCACGGAGAGTATAATTGTTTAAATGTCACGCCTTACTAATAAATTTCGCGCCACGCGCTAAATGTCGCGTGACTAATAAAACATGAGTGTCCGCAGCGAAAAAAGGAAATATCACATTAATTAATTTTTCGTGGTTCATTCTGTGACTAAAATGTCTAAAATAATTAAAATTTCCTATTTATTAAAGTTTATGCCAGTGGTTTTGGCTGTAGATGATAATTTGTTCACGCTTAAATCTAAAGGTAAAAATTTCTTTGCAACGAGTTTTACTTTTTATTACATTACCATTAATGTTTAAAATATTAGCTAAAAATGCACTCTACATAAATTGTCATAACTTATGAGAGCAAAGTAAGTTGATAATTAATCTGAGATAAGTATTTTCAATGATATATTAGGAATACCTATTCTTTATTTATAATTATTATTCTTAATGCATCATTGAGTATTTCAAGCTCGTTTTACAATGTTATACACTATGATAACGATTATCTTTACACAATGCCATTGTGTACATTGCTATTATTAGCAATTGGACTGCCAATCGATTATTTACAATTATTATTGTTTAAAAAAAACTTTATCAGGCTATTTATGTCAGAGTTTCTGTGTGACCTGGCCATACTAGCTTTTTTTTTTAAATAGAATTTTTAATAATGGTGGTTCGAGAAACAAACAAATACGGAATTAATAGTATATAATAATCAATGTGTATACATATTGATTGTTATATCATATTTAAATTTTTTTTATCTATTGGTATAATTTTGATAGCATCTAAGTCCTGCTTTTTGGTTGTATTTTTGGCTAATCAAATCGAAAGTTGTTTAAGTAATTTTTTCGTATTTCGATCAAAAACGAGGATTTCAACAACAACAGAAAGAAGTTTTTTGCTGCACTAAAATGTTTACTATTATTGCACTAAAAGTAAATGGTTTATTGCAATAAAACCTGAAAAGTTATCTTTTGATTTATATTATTCTAGAATTTGTTCTGACAATTTTATTACAGGTTTAGTTTTTAATTTTTATTTTGTTTTTTATTTTTGTTTAAGATAATCCAAACTACTAATTGTATCACAAATTGTATAAACTAATCAAGCCAACACACAATAGTAATAATTACAATAGATACGTATGCTAATATCTTTAGGTATACATAGTTACAGTTACTAATATGTTTTTACAATTTTAAGATAACAATTTTACTTTCAGTATATATTTTCAAAATTTGTGACAATAGTGTTATCAAAGTTATTTATTAATTTTACTTATTTAAAGTAAAATTATAAAATAAGCTTAAAATACAATTTATAAAATAATATCTATTAGATAATCTAATTGCTATTTTTATACTATTATTGTATTCTATGCCTAAAGATATTGCTATCTAATGTTGTTTAGTTAAACATAGTTTGTAATAAAATTGTCATAGTTTTACCCAATTTATGCATAAAATATATGAAAATAATGTTTTGTTGTAGTGTCCTCAAAGATCAATGTACTGCCAGATGACTTTGATTTGATGTTTTCTGACATGGTCTTAGAAGATGAGATGATAGTTGCTCTTCCTAATCCATGTGAAATCGTTGTCAAGATTATTGGTAAAAATTTACTATAAATTAGTCTAAAATCATTATGTCCGGTTTTTTCTTATTATTTTAAAAGTTTGTTCTAAACTAATAATATTTTTCTTGATGCTTATCTTATGTTTAATATATGATAATTATATTTCGTGTTTTAATATATGATAATTATATTTCAGAATCAGACCCATCATTCCAAAGAGTAACATATGAACCGACATTTCTTGAAATGTTGAACTCTGTTCCAATTTATAGCCGAGAAAGTTCAGGGGATACTCCTGGTACAAGTAAAAGCTCGACACAATCATCGTTCATTTTGCAGCCACAAATTATGAATGTCCCAGCTACTGTCCAGTCTCCACTTTCTCTAGAGATTGGAGTTAAGGTATGTTGCTGTGGATTTATGTCTGAAAATAATGCACGTATGGACAGACATTTAGGTATAAGTTCAATATGTAAAATTGTTTGTAAAATTTGTAATGCCTCATTTAAATCAACAAAAGGAGTATCAAGGCACATTTGCAAAAAAAATGAAAAAGCAGTTTTACCCTTTCCAAAGATAAAAATAGACTCACAAACAACATTTGCAATTAAACTCTGTGGTCAGTTGAGAGTGCCTTCAACAACTGTCAATACAATATTTAGTATTTCCGCCAATATGTTACTTAATATTCGGAAGGTAATTAAAGAAGAGCATTTTCATACTTTTGACAAGTATTTTTCACAAGTGGATATCCTTAGTAATAAATATCAAAGAGAAAAATTGTTAAATGATTTGTTTGACGTTTTGAAAATAAATGAAGTTTTGTTTGCTGGTGGCAAAGGTTATAATTTTTTACTATTTGACATTATTAATTTCCTTTTGCAAATTGATGAGTTTGTACAACTTTTAAGTAGGAAAGATGCTGAAGCAAATTATCGTACAGATTTCTCTACACACAAGCCATTAGAATTTTCTCTTAGCTTATATTGTGACGATATAGAATTAGCTAACCCTATTGGCAAACACAGAAAACTTCATAAACTAACTATTTTCTATGTTCAATTTCATTCCTTGCCATCATATATGCGTTCTACTTTAATATCAGTTTTTCCACTTGCTGTTGTGCCTGTAAAGTTATTTAAGTCTAATAAAAAAGGGGCTTATTTTCAGTACTTAGAAGATTTTATTACTTCCTGTAATCTTTTGATTAATGGTGTTACTTTTAATTCAACGATTGGTTGTGTAAAACTATTTTTAAAATTTGTAATATACTTGGGAGATACATTAGCTTCAAATCATATTTGTGGATTTAAAACCAGCTTTGCACCAAATGTATTTAGATGCTGTCGTACATGTCTCACCACAAATATACAAATATCATCAATTTACAGAGAAGATATGTGTATGTTACGTACTCAAGTAAACCACCAGCAACATATCTTAGATCTCAAGAGTGTGAAAAGTAAAAAATCTAAACTCTATTGGTCAAGATTTTATGGCATAAATTATGAGAGTGCACTTTTACTAATCACCGCTTTTGATATTATTGAAAACGCGCCACACGATCCCATGCACATTTTGCTTGAAGGACTAGTGCCCCATGAACTATGTCTTCTGATGCGATTGCATATTTGTGAAAAACGTATATACTCATTAGCTGCACTTAATAGTTTTATTATCCAGTTTCCTTATTCATACTCTGAAGCCAGAGATAAGCCCAATATTTGTCCAACTACCTTTGATATTTCAGGGTCTCAAACATCTGCTCAAATTTTGATTCTTGCTCGTATCATTCCACTTTTTATTGGACAATACAGCAATTCCAATGATCCTTATTATGTTAATTTTCTTGATCTTTTACAAATTCTTCAACTTACTTTGTCACCAATAACTACGTATAGAACTATTTTGGATTTAGAAACTCTTATTGAAAAGCATAACAAATCATTTACTTTATTGTGGCCAAATAATCTGATACCAAAGCATCATTTTTTACTTCATTTTGTTGGACAAATGCATCGATTTGGTCCACTAAAAAATCAATTTTGTATGACTTTTGAAGCAAAGCACAATAAAATAAAAAGTGTACGATGGCATAACTTTAAAAACATTGCCAAATCAGTTTGTCAATATCTTCGATGGAACACAATTTCAAACTTCCTTGATGATAATGGTCAACTGATACCTTATCCTTTTATGGCAAAGACTCAGCATTTAAAAAAAAGAATTGTAATTGGTTCAATTGTATACCAAGTTGGTGATATTATTTCAACAATTGATGATTCTTATCAACTTTATAAGATCACTGACCTTCAACCTAATTGCGTAAAAGTTTGTATCATGACAATTGACAGCTATATTCCTCACAAACTGGCTTTTCATGTTAGAAGTACTAATACTTTTAAATCAATTGTTTTAGAAAATCTCCAAATTACGTGGCCATTGACAAAATTTACTGTAGATGGCACAACATTAGTTGTGCCTAGGTCAAAACATTGTCTCATAGTTTTTTAATAAATATTTTGAATATGAATATATATTGTTTTTAATTTTTTGCTGTTTTTTTAGAGAAGTTTGTGTTTCATTCATTTATATATAAGCCTATTAATGCATACAGAATATATACTTGCTAAAGTGTTATCTAAGCAATAAAATGTTTATATATATACATATTATTATATATAGTTTTTTAATACTAGCTACCTATCTTTTCAATGGAGTGCAGCAAATATTTAAATGGTTTGGTGCCTTGCCGTAAGCATACTTTAAAAGATGTTTGTAGTGAGTTGGCGCATCACCTTGAAGAGTGTCTTCCAGAGGGAAACCCTTCAATAAGAAAAAGGTTCTATAACCGTGTAACTGTCCTTTTGAAACAGTCATACCCAACCTGTACTTTTGGAGAAGAGGGTGCAGTAAGTTTGAACTTTAATGTTTGTAAATTTTCCATAAAACATCAGTGAAATATTACTCAAAAATAAATTATATACCCAAATATAAATTATAAAAACCAATAAATAGTTCACAACATCATTTTTAAAAGATATTTAATTAAGCAGAACATAAGGTATGGATAATTACTCCAAATAAGGGTAAAATTAAATTCAAATAGATATAGATTCAGTTTTATGCATGTTTCGTGTAACACATCCATGTGTTACACAAAATATGCCACTTTTTTAATTCATCAGATATTATTTCAATTATAAATTTTCTTTTTTAGGGTGGAGTTGTAAAGCGCGTTTCTAATGTAATTCGGAAGCGACGTGAGCGTCGTTTAAAAAGTTTGCTTGATGTAAAAAATGCAAACAGAATGCTAAACATCTCTGGAATAAACGACAGCTCATTTGATGAAGATATACAGGTTATACAGATGAGCCCTTTTTTTAAAAGAAATGTTTTTAATCAGTATATTCTAAATAAAAATTATTATTACCTATTATATACAGGAAGAATTTAATAAGGTTTACTTTAGAGTTATTGCAATTTCTTTGTATGTTAGTTTGCTTTGGTACAAAGAGTTCCTGATATGGATCATATTCGTTGTTTGGTTAGGAATATGAAGTGTTCTCTGCCATATTCAGAACACAAAGAGCACCTGTTCCATCCAGAAATTGTAAGCATGTATATATTTCCCAATGGTCTAAGTAGCACTAATTTAGTAATAATTTTTAAATAAAAAACAATTAAAAAAAAATTGTTATTTATTTAAAAATTATATATATATATATATATATATATATATATATATATATATATATATATATATATATATATATATATATATATATATATATATATATATATATATGTATATATATATATATATATATATGTGCGGTCCTTTATATGTGATCCCATCCCTCCCTTATCGGGAGGGAAGCGATCACATTTAACTTTTATAGGTAATAAGTTTTTTGTTATTTAATTAATAAATTTTTATTTTGCGCATTTTTAACAAAAAGTTATTCCAAATGGGTTAAAAATTTATAGATCATGGACGAATTTGAAAGAATGGGCATTGTTTCCAAAGAAGCTGCATTAGAGAGGCTATTGCAAGTTGTTGAAAAGTTGTATCCAGGTTCAGATATTCCGTCTGCCCTAATACGATTTCATAAGAACACTACCAGAAAAGGAGTGTTGTGTCCAATTGTTATTGCAAGTGTAAGTTTAACATATAGTTGTTTCTTTTTGGATTTTTTAAATTGTTATTTATTTTTGTAATGTTATGTTATTAAAATAGATTTTTGTAATGTTATGTTATTAAAATAGATTTTTATTTTTTAACAAATTTTTAGTCTGAAGATAACGTCTCTTCTCCTGGGCCGCAACTCATTTTAGGAGAGAAAATAACATTTGTTGATAAAGGGAAAGTAATTGCGATTGGTCATCGGCATAATGATTCCCTACACGTGCTTCAATTAATTGCTTATTATTATATTATGGACTTGTCGTACCCAAGATCGTTTGGGGGAGTTTTGGGGCTGTTGCAGCATTACGTCTTGCAAATACCATTTGCTTGTACAAATAAGCTTTGGTTAAAAAAATGCCGAGTCTTGTAAAAGGTTTTGTTGTATTTTGCCACTGTTCAACTCTTCGAATAAAAACATTAAGACAATTTAAAATTAAATATTTATATTTATGTTTGATGATGGTTACTTTTTATACATAAAGTATAATTTTCATTATTTCTTTGGTCTTTTTATTTATTTAATTTAAGTAAAGTGTGCCATTTATTAAATTAGTCACGCGATTTTTAGAGATTTTGTATGGCGTGACATTTATATTTTTTATTTGTCACGGGACATCTAAAACACTATCGTGTCGCATGTCACCGAGCCCGATTTAACGCGCCACATTTAAATTTTTTAAATGTAGCGTGAATAATCGGGCTTGGTGACATGCGAAACGATAGTGTTTTAGATGTCCCGTGACAAATAAGAAATTAAATTGTCACGCCATACTTCTTCTTAAAAAGTCGCGTGACAAATTTTATTATAAATGTCATGCCATATTTAATTGCTAAAAGTCGCGTGACTGATTTAATTATAAATGTCGCGCCAAACTTAATATCTAAAGGTCGCGTGACAGTTTTAACTCTAAATGTCGCGGGTTAAATCGGGCTTCGTGACATGGCAATTTTATTAGACAATTTGGCGTGACATTTTTTACAGTGTAAGAAATGGTGTAAATAAACATATTTTTTTTTTTATTAACTTTTTCTACTCTTTTGCTATATAAAGCACTTTTGCATGTTTTTGGATCGTACCATTCATGTTCTAGTTTCTTCCAAACAGTTCTATCTGACATGACATCTTCTAAATCAAATAGTTGGTCATTGGACAAGCGCTTGCATGAATTAATAATTTCTTTAAAACTCAATTTGGATAGCTCACGCTCTAACTTTCTTTTTTCTTTTTCATCCATTTTATGGCGCTTGATTTTCTGTCTTTGGCAAATCTCATCTCTCACTTTGCATCGATGCAGTTGATTTGTAAATCTGTTTTTATGTGCTACATTAATTGACCATTTAACAATCTTTTTTTCATAAGCTTAAATCTTTTAAAATTTTTTTTTTAAATCAAAACATTTATTTAACAAGGAATACTAACACAGCATACAAATACTTTAAATGATATAGTAACTAAAACAATACAGAAAAAAAAGAGTGACTTAAAAAAATGTAAGTATTAAGTATACAAAAATACAACTAACAAGAAATAATTTTGTTAGACAACAATCTACACAGGCATAATAAAGAACAGTATTAGAAAACTAATATCATTTATATATGTATGTATATATATATATATATATATATATATATATATATATATATATATATATATATATATATATATATATATATATATATATATATATATATATATATATATATATATATATATATATATATATATAGAACATATATTATAATATCATCTATTTAATAACTACTAAGCTATTGAATACAGAAAGTAACTAACTGATGTTGACAACATCAGTTAGTTATAAAAAAATATTTCTTTCACTGTTTTAGATCCCTAAAGTTGTAGTAGATCCCCAAACAACAACTTTGGGCATCTAAAACAGTGAAAGAAATATTTAAGTTATACATAAAGATTTAGATAGTGGCCAGATAATTTAAAAACAGTTTAATAAATTTATATCGAAACAACTTATCCATAAAGATATTTCTTATTAAATAAAAACAACGTTCAATCTTCAAATTAGATATGAATCATCAATAATTTAATTCACATCAAATTCTTATTATGAATATGATATGAAATACTAGATAAAACCTTTATTTTCTTCCTCCATTTCTAAATCAAATATAAAATCCAAGTCTTATTTTAATATTTACTAAAAATCGTTTTATTAAAGTAATTTCTTTTAAATGTACAAATTTTTAACTATATTTTTATTCTAAAATATCTAGGTTTACAATACCAATTTATGACATAAGTCAAATATTGCTAATATGAATACTATATATGTAAAATAAATATAAATAAAAACAATCAATGGACCCCTCTGTCTCCCGCGCCAACATCAGGTAAAATGTAAATTAGGTAACAAAAGTGCAGCAAGAAATAAGGTGACTGCTACAAAATATTTTTCAACGAAAATTGGCAGGTGCATAGATAAATGAATAAATTTAATAAAAAAAATGGATAGAAAAAAAAAAGACTATATCCTGGACATTAAACTCACCACAGAAGTACAACCAAAATTTTGACATCAATAAACTCGTTAATAAGTTAAGTGAGTATAATTAAAAACCAATCGAACTAATGCTTCAACTATTCTTCTTTCTAAAAATAATCTATGTTGATAACGAATACTAAAAAGTTATTCCACAAGGCCTTCCTCAAGCACTCTAACTTTTAAGAGACTACGAAAAACGTGGAACAGAATTTTAGCACAAAATTCGGTTCCGTAAAACGCGATGCTCACGTACCTATATATATGTATATATATATATGTATATATTTATATATGTATATACATATATATATATATATATATATATATATATATATATATATATATATATATATATATATATATATATATATATATATATATATATATATATATATATATATAATATATATATATATATATATATATATATATATATATATATATATATATATATATATATATATATATATATATATATATATGACGGGTCCCTAATATTTTGAAAAAAAAACTTTTTCTAAAGTATGTCAACCTGGTACTCAAAATAAGCAAAATTATATAAAAAATTTAAAAATGAAAATAATTTTTTATAAAAATAATTTTTTCAGGTATAAATGCATAAAAACTATTGTTTTTAAGCTGAAAATGAAAAAAGTCAATATTTTAAGGTTTTTTAAGAATAAGTTTTTTAGGCATGTTTTTTTATGTAAAATGATTATTATTTTTAAAGTTTTTATATAATATCGCTTCTTTTGAGTACCAGGTTGACATACTTTAGAAAAAGTTTTTTTTTCAAAATACTAGGGACCCGTCAAATTTTTGAGGGCCTTGAGCTACCCCTAAAAATAATTTTTGTTCAAAAAAATTTTAAACCTAGTGTTTTTGTATTAGATAAAACACATTTAGGGGGTACCAGCAGGTTTTTCTCAAAAAAGTCGTTTTAAAGCACCACCCTAAT